TATGTGATAGAGAGATGAGATTGGAAGTACTTATAGGGAGGCAGATCTCGGTGACCTCCTTGACAGCGAGCTAGGTGACGATGGCAACCAAGGGGCTCAAGTGGCCACGAACGTTAAATCGAAAACTGTGAGCTCCTATGACGGCGAGCTCAGTGACGCCGGCAACGAACAGTTACAGATTTGTTTAAGAGACTGAGAAGATGAGATGAGAGGGAATGTTGAAGAGAATTGAGGAGGGTTTCGAGCCGTGGGTGAAGTCTGAAATTTTTAGGTGGAAGACGAATAAGCCTTAAGTGGCCTTTTGGTTTACCGTGTTTTGAAAAGACGACACTAGTTTAATTGACAACGTCGTGTATTTAAAATCAACCCAATTCAACTGGCTTTTAGTGGTGTATTAGATCATATACCACGACGGTTTTGTAAAAACGTCGTCTTTTAAAATATAACGACAGTTTTAAAGTGCACTGTTGCATTCCTAAGAGGACACAAATTAATGTGCAAACAACCAATTAAAAATACCCGCAAGTGCACGAATCTATTGAAGTATAGATTATGTAAGTACGGGGTCGATCCCACGAAGAACTTGTCGGCTTCCTATAAGTTATAATTTGAGTACAAAGAGAACACTTAATTAACACACCACAAATGCACAAATGCAAAATGGAAACTAGAAATGAGTAAAGAAGTGTAAAAGAAATGGAACAACACAAGAAAACTAGAGAAAAACACAAACAACACTTTCTATCACCCTTTTATCACCATTTGGACAGATTCGTTTCTCTATTTTTCCAGTTTCGACCTCTGTCCAGTATTTGACCTATAACTTTCCAACCGTTTATCCAAATTTCACGTTCTTTACACGGTTGGATTCAGCACACAAAAACGAAGAACATAACGCGGACCAAAAGTCCAAAACAGTTACGAAAATAAACAGAATTCAGTAAACAAGACACACAACGTATCAAACACACAACTCACACACACATTGGGGGGGGGTTTTGATTTGGTTCAAGTGACCTATTTCTATTGCATGAAAGTAAATGGACTTTGAATTTAAATGAGAACAATTCTACCTATGTTCATGAATACTCAAATGATGAACTCTAAACATGTTGATGAAAATGTTCGCAATCAAGACCATGGGTCGTGGCTCAAGACGCATTGATTCTCTCTAATATACGTAAAGTGCATGGTTCGTGCTACAATACTTGTGCCCTCCCCATAACCGAACCTAGGTATGGTTCGTACTTCGATTCAATTACAAGGAGAACCCATTAAGTTCAAAGAGAATATGAACATCACAAGAATCCTAATAGCATGGTGTTTACATTAGGTATTCAACAAACCAATTCACATGGATGATTCTTACTTCATCCATTTATTGCTTAGGATAACATGAAGATACACATAATCCCAACAATCTCAAGAAGCATGCTTTCAAAG